GGGGCACCGCGAGACTCCGTGCGGAGCCCGCCAAGAGCGGGAGGCTGGTTGAAGCCGAAGGCGGTTGGCACCACGTGTTCCTTCCTTGGCTCTTGAGCAGGTTTAATCAGTTTCTGATGCCTGGGTATGTTCGGCACCAATCCCCAGGCTGCTTAATGCTCAGTAGTAGTTTTCTTAGCAAACTCCTATCCGGGTGTGTGTTAGGGTTTTGTTTTTGTTTTCCATAATAGGTCTGCAGTTTGCATTTGTGCTATGAAAAGATCCAGTTGTCCTGTCATGCTTGGTACCGTAAAAACAAGTGACTAAGAAGGCAGGCCCGCAGCAGAGTTACAGGACAGAGCGAGTAAACGCAGTGAGACCAGGCTGGGGACACGGGTAAGGGCAGGGCAGGACCCAGCAGCGCTGAGAGGGAGCACAGAGATGATGGAGGAGCTTTTGGGGGCGGGAAGAGGAGCTGGTGGTGACCCCCCTGCGTTGCCAGCTCAGGCAGGGGGGTTTACAGAACCCCCTTGGGCCCCCCGGTGCCGCTGGCCTCTTGCTGCGCTTTTGCTCTGTGCGCAGGTCCCCTTCCGACCCCAACCCTGGGAGCGGCCAGGGAAGGAGCCGGGAGCTTCCGAGAAGGTGCAAGGGTGGCAGCCGGGAGGCAGCACGATGAGGACGGACCCCCAGCTGGGAGGCAGGGAAGCTTATGGGTGTGTGGAGAAGAGTCTCCGTGGCCGCCGACTGCCCGGGTGTCGGTAGCTCTTACTGTCTTTCAAGAGTTGCGGTGTCCACAAAGCCTTAATAGCTTCCTTTTAGGCCATAGATTTCCAGATGAAAAAAGGAAAAACAGGGTGCTGCAAAGTGCTGGAGGAAAAGCAGCAACTCTCATGTTGTTTCCATTTTGAAAGAACGCTGTTAATAAATACAGTTTTAAATGTTCTGAAACTCCCTATTGCAATATCCATTTAAAATCATTTAGATGTTTTCTTTGCTCGTTTCCTGCGCCAAGACCGCATTTTCCCATCCGTGCTGCTGCTTTTGCACTGCGCCCCGCGTTGTGGCCGTCGCAGAGGCGGCGCGGCCGGGCGAGGGCTGCGCGCCCCCCCCTGCCGCCCGCGGGGCCGGTGCTTGCTGAAGAAAGGCTCTGCAGAGGCACGCGATTCATAAATACGGTTAATATATTTTCCTGGCAGTTGTCTCATTTTGAAAGAGAAATACTTTGACTTCTCTCGTCTTAGTGCTTCACACAAGCTTTTAGTTGAAAAACTACCGTTATTTGGGGAGGAAGGACACAGGAGAGTTGGATAAAATTGATGGATATGATTGAGGAGAAGGGAAGAAAAATAAACTTTTTTTTCAGGCAACTAATATAATATATAGTAGGTATTATTTGCAGATTCCCATTCTTCCTAGTGCCCAGCGAATTGTTCCTGACATGGCTACCACCAGATTTTGTGATTTCATTGAGTCTGAGCAATAGGGGGCTGCTACTTTGTTCTTCTTTTTAAGCTCTTACAGTAAAGGTAGAAATATTTCTTTTAAAATAAACAGGAAAAGAGCCGGAGCGGTTGGGAGGTGTTTACCTAATGTAAAGATAATGGTAACGAATCCCCAAATCAGGATGTGGGGATGTCACAAAAACCGTAGATGATGTCTAGGCTGTCACTTGTGTTAATGGTTTAATTAAGAGCGCTGGGGTGGCTCGCGGACCGTCTCGTGGGCTGGACCCTCTCGCGCACGTCTTGAGGGCGGAAGCGGAGAACCTGGGGCAGTGGCTGTTGCCCTCGCGCTAGGCAGGGGCCCCGTAGCTCCTTCACACGCATCGTTCTGGTGTGTCTTTGTGTTCCACCTCCACTGCTTTTCTTCTCTTCTCACCCTGTTTGAGTTTAAGTGCAGGAATGTGCAGAGTTTAAATGCACTTTGAGTTTAAATGCAGAAAAGTGTTGATTCATAAACTCACTGTGTTTTAGTTTGGTGTGGGTTGGAATGAGGGAGTTGGAAGTTAATGCTGTGTTACGCTCCCAAAGCGCTGGATTTTAGGATTTCCCTGGAGATTGTTGGTGTTCTGCTGGAGTCAATTGCAAGTCAGCGTCTTGCTGCGCTTGCCAGGGTGCGGAGCAGGGCCGTGGCAAGCAGGGATCTCTCCGGTGGTGCTGGCGTCGCTGCCGGACCCCTGGCTGCGGCTCCAAACCCGAGTCACACGTAGCTGCCCTTGAAGGCGCTCGGCCTTTCCATGCCGTAACCTCCGCACTTCCCTTGTGGTGCCGGGCCTGAGGTTCGGTGGAAGGACTGAAAAACTCAAATATTTCTGTTGCTTCAGTAAGAAGTTCTGTTTTGTCATTTTCTTACGTAATCAGAGAACATTGTGGATTCTCCAGTGTTGTGTTAGTGTTTATTAATTCCTAGATGGCAAAAGACAAATTATGGCAACGGCACCAAAGCCAGATAAAGTGGTGTGTTCTAGAGGGAGTTGTGGTTAGTTGGGCTTGTGGGCAAGGCCTGTGCTGAAGGCGACGTCAGCCCCCGGCGGCCGCAGAGCCGCAGCCTG